AGAACTTGATCTAGAATGTTGTTGCCGCGCGTTGGTTTATTTACAAGTCGGCGTAAATTAAATCTCCTACACAGAGGGTTGAGATCCAGCTGGTTAAAATCTCCTGTTATAATTATCCCGGCAGAAGGTCTGTCCTTTAACAGGTCATCAAGACGAACGGTGATATAATCGTTGATCTCCTTTTCTTTCTCCACGTTTTTACGGAATTCGGGATAATAAACACCGACAGTAATAATGCAATTAAAAGGTCTCGGCGTTCTCACAGGACTGTGGAGAAGCCATAACACTTCGATATTATCCACCTCTAATTCCTTAAGATGTTTGGTCGGTAAGGACTTGTGAGCGTATGCTACGATGCCGCCGCCATCAGATAGAACCCTGTCCTTACGGTAAGCATTATACATTTCGCCAATACGGGCCGCGGTGGATGGAGTATTAGAATTCAGCCATGACTCTGTGATGATCGCAAGAGTCACCCCATTTAGCTCAATCACCGCTTGTAGCTCGTCAAGCTTGTTAGTAACATGACAGGCGTTTGTAGATAACAATSTAGGTARTTGATGGTGAAAATTCGTCCTTGTTGGAATAGAAATAAAATTCGCTGCATTCCGGCCTCCGGTTATWATARTGCATTYTTCACGGTTAGTGATTACTGTTTTGATGTTGTAAAATTGCCCCTCGCGCTGTGTTCGCTACTTAACTTTCGCTCCTGAACGAACTACTCTTGCTGATTTTAGAAGTTGCATGGATTTGAGAGTATCATAGGTGCAGCGGTCGAGAGCCTGAGAGCGTGAAGAACTCTCGGGAAGTACTTGAGCACCGCCATGTTGGTTGGTTCGCTGGACGGGCAGAATGTGAATCGAGAAGAATATCCACAACTTGGCCAAAAAGCAGGCTTGACTGAGGACAACTTGGTTCCGTGATAGAATAGGAACAGTTTGGGTTAGCCTTATASWTAGTAGTCGCTTGCGATAAGGTTAAAATATAACGTTTTCTGGTGAGGTATAAAAAGAGCAGCCATCAAGCGTCGCATAAATTACAAATGTACACCCTCTAAAGATTATATTTATGTATTTTAGCCGAGTATATCTTTTGGGTGCTCATGACCCTCTGTTCCGACTAGACTAATACTGGAACATATGAATTGAAGTAACCTTAAACAAGAAGCGTGCGTTCAAAAGAAATAAAGGTCAGAAGTTGAATTAGTGCCTATTGCTGTCCACCAAATGTASACCAGCCTAGAATAGACCTTAGCGAGACTGTTAATAGTGAGACTGGTTGTGATAAGTGCACCAGTCGTCGCTGTGATCTTTGTAGCAGCTATTTTGAGTCTTCTAGAAAATTTAGTAGTTTTGTTACTAAGAAATTTTATACAATCAAGCAGAAATTAGATTGTAAGTCTAAGATTGTTATATATTTAGCTTCGTGTAATAAGTGTAAATTGSAGTATGTAGGCTTCACTAGGAATGAATTTAAAKTTAGATTTCGTAATCATAAGTCCGCAATTCTTACGAACAAAAAAACTTGAGTTAGCCATTCATTTTAATAGCATGCAACATAATTTGAGTGATGTAAGCTTTATAGTATTAGAGTCGTTAAACAATTTAGAAAATATTGAACGAGATCTTTTAAATAGAGAAGCATATTGGTGCCATCAGCTTTTTACATGTCACCCTCATGTCTTAAACAAACGCTTAGAATCGAATTCCAATTAATTATTTCCGATTACTTATTCTGCTTATAAGTTTTTCTTAGGATTTTTGAATCTTCTTTATTTCCTTAGTTTAATTTGTACCTGGCAGTTTTATGTTAATTGAAAGTTTTTAGGTTTTGTGCTTCTTTAGTATTCTTGCTCTGTGCTACATTAGTCCCCCCTTTCCGCGARTTTCACATTTATTTGTTTCTATATTACTTTCAGCTGATATAATATAATTCTTAGGTAGAAGGATTTTGAAGGTTGCTTACAGGGGCAGTAGCTTTCATGTCCTTCTTTTATTCACATTAATCTCGTATTTTAATACGAAAAAAAATTAAAATTTAAAATTCAGTRWTTTTCTGCCTTTCGTGTTGTTCATCTGGCTTGGGTTTGTTTGATGTAATTTCTGGTTTGGCTAGTTAAGTGCTCTGTATAAGCTACTGCTTACTTATGTAATGTAGTTTAGATTAGGTACTGGCCCAAGTGCAAGCCCTTAGTGCGCGTGTTTTTTGGCTGCGCGCGCTGTAGAGCGCGCGTTTTGTTGTTTTCCGTTAGTCGCGTTTTTTTAGGATTTTGTTTTTGTAGCAGTGGCGCGTGCAAAACATTCAGTTGGCTGAAGAAATTTTGATGTGATCCATAATAGCTTGTATAGTTAATAGTGATTCATCTATTGTCCTTCCTTTCAGTCRTGCAATCACCAATAACCAATCGCCATTCTCTCCGACAACGTTTTTTGAAATAGCTGTATGCAGTTTTTCTGATTATAGACTATTAYAAGTAACTTTGTAATTTTGTATTTAGCTTCAGATTATGTCGCAATAAATTCTGAAACCAGCAATAATATCGTCTTATTGTGTCCTTTATGGCTTTGAAAATACCCTTAAAATTCGCCAGCCCATTATCTGAAGATTTCTTTCGTCGCTGGTGCGTTTAAAGGAAAAAGATTCGATGGCGGAAAAAGCAAGAAACGTTCGACGGGCAGCAAAGGGATCGCTAACACGAGCAATTSGAAGCGTGAACGAGTTCATCGAAGCTGAGCGACCATGGGAAGAAATACAACAGTCAATGGAGAATGTGTGTAAAGCTTTTACATCATTGGAGGAAAAACATGAGGAGTACACTCTACTACTGAATGACGAAGAGTTTATTGAAGCAGAGGAATGGATGGACGCATGTGTACGTGAGTACAACCAGATAAACATCAAAAGTAATGATTATATAAAGTATCAAAAAGGAAAAGGAACACACTGAAAACAATGCTGAAGTCGAGGATGGTAATGATGATGAAAATGATGACATGAATGAAGCTAACCATGATGGTGGTGATGGCAATGTCAACTTGAATGTCCATGATGTTAATGATGAAAATTTCAATAATGCTGATGCTAATGTCAATGATGATGCCAATGATGGAAATGATGTCAATGATGAAAATTTCAATAATGCTAATGGAAATGTCAACAATGCTGCTGATGTGAATGGAAATGTCAATGCTAATGTTAATGGAAATGTCAGTGGTAATGTGAATGGAAACAACAATGTCAATGCTAATGTTAATGGAAATGTCAATGCTATGGTGAATGGAAATGTCGATAATATAAATGCCTCTGTCTATGGAAATGCAAATGCCACGAATGGTTCAAATTCAGCTACTGTACAGGAGAAAAAGCCCATTGTATCTGTCACCTTAAAACMTGAGAAGCCAAAATTGCCAATGTTTAATGGAGACGTAAGAAAATACTTCATTTTCAAAGATGATTTCAGACATGCAGTTGAATCCAAATGTTCCGAAAGAGACTCAATCACAATATTACGCACATGCCTGGGTCCAGAGCCATCAAGATTAATCGAAGGGATCAGCAATGACCTGAAGACTGTATGGAAATACCTAGACCAGAACTATGGAGACCCAAGAGTTGTGTCTGACACCATCACATCTGACTTAGAGAAGTTTAAAGCCATTCAACCCGGTGAGGACAACCGATTTTGTGAACTTGTAAACCTGGTGAGGAGATCTTACAACATTCTGAAGGAAATAAAGAGACCACAAGATATCGATAATACACGTAATCTCTTTGATCGAGAGAAAACTGCCACCAGAAGACCAGAGAGTGTGGTCAAGATGTCTAAACCACCAAAAAAAGGAACCATCTATGTCCTTGCTTCTGGAATGGTTAGAGGAGGAAATGTCCTCTAGAATGCGGTCAAGTGCTGGGATCCGTAAACCAAGTACAGTTAAACACTCTGTTCATGCTGTAAACGAAAGACCAAACCGAAATACAGTAAAGCCACCATTCAACTCTACAAAAGAGAAGCCACAGTGTTATGTTTGTCAAAGTCAGCATTACATCGATGAATGTCCTAGATTCAAAGAAATGTCTGTGAAAGAGCGATGGAAGGTGGTCAAAGACAAGCACGCCTGCTTCTGCTGTCTAAAATACAGCAAAGACCACTCTGCTTCAACTTGCAAAAAAAAAGAGAATGTGGTGAGGCAACTCAAGATAACACTTGTAAGAAATTCCACCACAAGTTACTTCATTCTGAATCTGGAGGTGTAGTTATGTCAGTTTCACACGAGAAGAGCAGAGCCTTATTGCCTGTTGCAGTTACTTTAATCAGAGGAAAAGGAAACCTGAAAAAAGAAGCTAATGTTCTTTACGATAGTGGCGCACAAGTATCAATGATCAGAAGCAGCGTGGCAGAGGAGATGTGCCTTACGGGCAAGAGAATCAAGATTTTTTTAACGAAGGTTGGAGGAGCTGAAGAAGAACTTGATACTATGTTGTATAAAGTTACACTATGCAGTAAGGACAATGTTACAGTTCAGTCAATAAATGCCATAGGRATTCCCCAAATCTCTGATGAAGTAACAGATGTAGATGTCAGCATTATTTCAAGGAAGTTCAGCGTCCCTGTAGAAGAGTTGAGAAGAAAGGCTGGACCAATTGACATCCTAGTTGGCATCAATTATCCAAATCTGCATTTAGGAAAAACAAGAGTCAAAGATGGTTTAGTTCTCAGAGAAGGCCCCCTTGGATTGGTAGTGTTTGGAATGAAAGGAGAAAGCCAAGATGAGGAGTCAAAACAAGTCTTGCATGTACGGGTTGCCAGCCAAGTCGACATAACAGACTTCTGGAAAACTGAAACTATGGGAGTCAACGCTCAACCATGTACTTGCAAAGCCGATGAGATGTCGAAAGAAGAGAGAAAGGAACTAACATTGATCGAACAATCCTGTAAACTCGRAGGTAATCGTTGGCAAATGAGCTACCCATGGAAAAAAGATGCTAGTTTGCTGCCAAACAACTATGATCAAGTCTTGAAGAAACTCGAAAGCACAGAACGACAACTAAGAAAGAACATGCAACATGCAGAAAGCTACCCCTGTTAGAATAGTATTCAACAGTTCAGCATCCTACAAGGGACATACCCTAAATGATTATTGGTACAAGGGTCCAGATCTCCTTAACAGCTTATTTGGTGTTATTTTGAGATTCAGAGAAAATCCAGTAGCTGTGTGTGCAGACATCTCCAAGATGTACCACAGAGTAACCATTCCGATTTATGATCAACAAGTACACAGATTCCTTTGGCGCAGCCTAGAAGAAAGGGAACCGGACACCTACGTCAAGACAGTCCTTACATTTGGCGATCGACCATCACCCAYAATGGCTATGGTTGCCCTTCGCMAGACGGCAGAGCTCAATRCAGCAGATGAACCGAAAGCAGCTGAATCCATTATAAAGAACACATACATGGACGACATTTGTGATTCGGTCGACACTGCTGCTGAAGCTGATAAACTTACATCATCTATTGATAGTGTTCTGTMAACTGAAGGCTTCAAATTTAAAGGATGGACATCCAATGTTTCGAATCAGCAAAGTCAGAAAATCACCATTGGCGAAGAAGAAGACTCGTCTGAGAAAGTTCTGGGAGTGGTTTGGAGTTCAAAGGAAGACAAGTTTTCCTACAAAGTGAACWCTGCTACAACAAYAGCTGATGAAATAAAATTRAAGGGCTTAACGAAGCGAAGAATTCTGAGTCATGTCGCAGGAATCTTTGATCCTATAGGAGCAACCGCACCAGTACTCGTCAAAGCAAAGATTGCCAWGCAAGAATTGTGGCAACATGGTCTCGACTGGGACGACAAAGTACCTGATGACATCAAAGAAAAGTGGGAGAAATTGTTCAAAGAGCTTGCCGCCGTAAACGGTTTTGACTTTGATCATTGTCTTAAACCAAGTAATGCTATAGGAGACCCCTGGCTTATTGTGTTCTGCGATGCTTCCCGTCTTGCATTTGGAGCATGTGCATACATCAGATGGAAGTTAGCAACTGGAAAGTTTGAAGTGAGSTTCATCGCAGCAAAGTCTAGAGTATCRMCTCTGAAGGAACTGTCGATTCCTCGACTTGAATTACAAGCGGCAGTTATAGCAAGTYGACTGGCCAAAACCATTTGCAAACAGTCAAGGTTTAAGTTTTCAAGATCCRTTTACTTCACTGATAGYCTAGTTGTTCTTACRTGGATACAGAGTATGTCACGCTGTTACAAGCCCTTTGTCTCATGCAGAATCGGCGAAATTCAGTCTAATTCAGAACCGTYCGAGTGGATGTACTGCCCAACACTGTTAAACGTGGCGGATGACCTATCGAAAGGATTCCCAACTAAGGATCTCAATGGGCGATGGATGAATGGACCAGTCTTTCTACAGCAACCAGAAGCTGAGTGGCCAAGCCAACAAGGTACACCGGAAATGTTAGAAGTCAACAAAGAGAGACGAAAGACAACCCTAGCCCATGCAGTAACCATCAAAGAGCCAATATTCAGACCAGAAGGGTTCTCAACAWGGAAAAGACTTCGTAGAGTGACTGCCTATGTACTACGGTTTATCCACAACTGTAGAAAGAAAGTTAACAACACAAAGATGTTAGGTCCATTATCAGCACAAGAGATCGCAAATGCAGAAGACTACTGGATCAGAAGAGCACAGATAAGCATCCACAAGAAGGTAGAGAAGGGAGAATTGTCCACCCTAACACCAATTAAGGATGACAATGGAATCATCAGAGTTGGAGGACGAGTAGACCCTAGTCTTTACTTTAGTCAAARTTATGGAAGTAATGGGGATTCCCCCATTGTGTGGGGGTAATGTTTCGTTTACTTTGGGCTACCTGTGGACTCGCGCATGCGCAGAGAAAAAAAACATGCCATGTGCTTTTTATGTATCGGTGGAAATCGTAGTTACTGTTAAAAATATGTGATTTTAAGGGCAAATACAAGATTATGTTGCTGGACAAATGTGATTCAACAGTTTATGAATATATTTATGTGACTTTGAAGTAATATATATGCAGTTTTTCTGATTATAGACTATTATAAGTAACTTTGTAATTTTGTATTTAGCTTCAGATTATGTCGCAATAAATTCTGAAACCAGCAATAATATCGTCTTATTATGTCCTTTATGGCTTTGAAAATACCCTTAAAATTCGCCAGCCCAAACTCCATAGTTATAACACTAGAAACTCATCTCGTCAAAACCTACATATACCATCTTGTAGAACCAATGTACGTAAACAAACCATCTCCTTCACTGCATCCAAGTTATGGGGAAAAGTCCCAATAGCTATTATATAAGATCACTCAAAGGCTCAATCTCCTTTGCTAAAGAAACAAAGAAATACTTATTGTACAATCAACTAAGTAGTGTTACTAAAACACAACGCTCCTGAATTTAAAGCATATGCTTGATTATCATTATTACATATGTTAAGTCCTGTCCTTCCTTCCTTTTCATTTTCGTTTTTCATCCAAACTTAAAGTTGAAATTTACTACTAAAAGCTAACTCGATAACTTCTGTTTACTTAGCCTTTAGRCACTACCTCACTAAATAACAAATTTAACTTAATTTCTACATAATTATTATACATTTGTAAATATTATCTTTATTTTTGTGCAAAATAAACTGATGATACTATGAACGAAGTTCATTTATTCACAATTCATAAGCTTACTTGAAATACTGTATGTTTAATTGTATTTTATACCAAACATTAGATGAGAGAAACTGCAAAATATTGTTTGAGAAATCTCCGAGGTTACTTGACCAAAAAAGTGGCAGCTTTGACCTTTGACATGAATTTTAAGCTTTCTTTTGCATGTATATGCCGATTTTAACACTTTTAAAAATGTTTATACATGTATGTAACTGATACACCTAATTAAAAAAAAGTAGTCGCGTTCGAAAAGGTCACATCATAAAAGCTAAGACCGAAAGGGATTTTGTGTACCACTAAATTGGGATTACATTTGCATATACAGTGTACCATAAATCAAGTAGAGCTAGTAAGATTAACAGCATGCTAGTCATTTATGCTGGTGTAAACAGTGTTTGTGAACAGATCGCGAACAAAGCGAGAACAGAACGCATTCAGTGTTCGCATTTTGTTCGCGAAATGCACGCGAACAAAGCTACATGTGATTGTAGGCGGTACTKTAATTGCATGATGTATAGATCTAGCCGGCCAAATAGAAATGAATATCAGTGATCTCGCCCCGTGATTTCGCCCCCTTTATCAAATATAAATCTCACACATGTAACATTACTTTTTTTCTAGAGCAGAAACAATTCAAGAGTTCTGGAGTTCTTGAAATCTCAAAGTTCTTGTTTAAGATATGTTGGTAAACTTTAATAATGTTCATGTTCAAACTACTGCAATGTGTAAACAAAAACACCAGAGGTTGTCTTCGAGTTAAACTAGAAAAGGCATAGATAAAAAACATTCTAAACCGATACATAGTACAGATGAGGCATTAATAAACTATGTAGTTTTGTGCAAGTAAATTCTTTGGACTGTGCASTGTGACTTTATAGTGAAGAAAGCCAATAAACGATTACATATTCTACGTCAACTAAAAAAGTGCGGTGCCCAGCCGGCTGATATGATAAGAGTCTATTCTTCGCTTATAAGATCTACCTTAGAATACGCTTCTGTTGTTTTTGCTGGCATACCAAAATATCTCTCTGCTACTCTTGAGAACATCCAAAGGAGAGCGTTGGCTATTATTTGGCCAGATTCTAGTTATGCTGATTCGTTAGTTAAAGCCAATCTGAAAACTCTCGAGCAAAGGCGCCATGAGAAATGTAAGGAATTCGTTAGGGATATAAGAGTCAAACCAGACAACCCAATTCACTAATTAAAGAATCATCAACCGCCGTAACTTGCGAGCTGAAACGCCATTTTAGTTGGACACGAAAATGGCAGATTCGTAGGATTTCTTAAAGTGAGCGGGAATCGTCTTCCGTCCTTTCAGTTTGGACAGAAATATATTTCACTAAGTACCTCAMAGGTACTATCAATCTATAATTTATTGTATGCTTGACGCATTTAAACGTATGTAAACAATAATGCGAGCGCGCAAGGTACGGCGGTTGATTATGATTCTTTAATGATCGAGTTGTAACCTCCTGTCACAGCATGTCTCTAAGAACTGGGAATAATCTTCGCCCCAATCGTGTGCAAACCAATAGATTCAAAAATTTTGTAACTGTAAAATTCCAAATGTAAGTGTTTTGTCCTTTTCCATTTATTTACCAAGCCTGTAATTCAGTATTATCATTACTGCCAGTGGCCTTAATAAACAGTATTATTAGTAGTAGTAATGATTGACAAAGACGACAAACTATCGCTCGAATCAACTTGAGTCATACACAGACTACGCTTACTACGAGTAGTGCCATCTGTTTTCTACAAACACATTCAAGACAAAATACTTACTAGATTAGAACTATTTGACATCATATTTCTTTGTTTTAAGTTAAAGGTTATGGAAAATAATAACTTTGAGCATTATACTTGACCTTCGAGCTGAGCACATGTCTTTCTTAGAGCTCCGCTTATCCAGCTAAGTTAGACGCCGTTAATCCCCAATTGTATCGCAAAGTAATTCTAACAAGTCAGTTATCATACTTTATCAATATCTGTATTACATAAATGAGTCATAGGACTCGTGATCAACTTTCCAGCCAAGAATCTTCTCCTGAAGCGAAACTGTCCAAGATGGCCGACGATGAAGAACCAACAATTCAGATGGTTTATCAGCTTCTCCTTAACGTACAGTCAAATGTTGCCATGCTAGTCAACTACAACCGGCAATTCAACAAGGATATAGAGGATCTAAAGACTGCACAAACTCTTCAAGATAACAGAATTGACGATCTTCAAGCTGAAACCAAGAAGCTCAAAGGCAAGATATCTGAACAAGATAATGACATATCAAGACTATCAGTAAAAGTAAGWAYYTTARAAGAGAAAATCGAAGAAATGGAAACTCAGCAGGACAACTTAAATCAGTACAATAGAAAGCATAACCTAATATTTGCTGGTATCCCGGAGCGCCAGGATGAAGACTTAAATGAAGCAATCAAAGAACTATGTGACTTGCTCAACACACCCGTAGAGGAAGGAGATATCGATATCGTCCACAGAATTCACAGTAAGTCTTCACCCAGGCCAGTTATTTTGAGATTTAGCAACTACTCAGCCAAGAAAGAAATGTACGCCGCAAGAAAGAAGCTGAGGTCGGTGAGACAAGAGAAATTTGAAGATACTAATTGTCTCTACGTAGCAACAAAGACCTTCATCAACGAAAACTTAACGCAACAAAGTGGTGTACTCTTCGCAGAAGTAAGAAAGCAAACCCGACTTAACCACTGGTATTCCACATGGACACTGGACGGAAAAATCTATGTTAGGAAGAATATATATATATAATATCAAAGAGGCAAGATTTTCCTGTAACTCCGAGTTTCGTGCTACGCACTCATCAGACAGTATTTAATGATAAACATTCCTATAATCTAGATATATATACATGCTATAGAACAAAAGGCTAAGCTATTTACATACAATACGTGATAGTTATGCTAGAAACAATAGGTGTGAAGGTAAAAATTACAAAAGAGAGTATACTATTAATTAAAACTGCATAGGTGTGAATACAATAGGCTGTAGAGGTGTCAAGTGTTCTTCAGGTAGAATTTGTTTTCGTGTCGGCATTTAGAGATGAGTTCTGATCTTTTGTTTAGTATATTGTCGTTACTGTGTTTAATTATCATACGTTTTTCTGTAAGGCAGAGGTCGCWTCGTTTGGAYATGTTGTTGTAGGGTCTTGCACGGCTGATAATTGTCCATTTGATGTTGAAGTCTTGTTTTTTTGTCTTTTAGTTGCCAGATGTACTTAGARAGTTCGGTGCTGTTGATGTGTTTTCTGTGTTTAAATGTAGATTTGTGCTGCGAGAATCTTTGTTTGAATGTTAGGAAGAATAAAGAATTTACAAAGTTGAGAAGGAATCGGATCTTGAAGAACTATTTCAAGACTAGAGATAAGCTATAATCATTTTAATAATAAAAATGTATATATTTGATATTGATTACCTTTTTTTAATTATTGTTTTAATTTTTCAAATGCACATTTACAACTTTAGTATTCACATAAATTACTATACAAAACGTACACTTTTTAACTCGAAGATTGCGAAGCAATCGAAGAGTTATTGGAGGGGGACGAATCTGTCACTCACTCAATCAGTCACTCACTCACTCACTGTCCTGTAAACTTGAGCCTGCGYTACTTGTGTTCAAAACTATTTATTTATTCTCATTGTTCTCTATTAATTTTCTCATTAAGTTACCGTTACCGGGTTCCCTGTTCTATATTTGATTGATTTTATTTATTTTTTGGCAAAGAAAGAAATCTAAAGAAATGTCAGCTCCTCTGAGTCTTGAACTTCAGACCTCTGAATTAAGCCCCGTCTAGACGAACAATTTTTATGTGACAATTGTAATTGCCTGCGGTAGATGAGCAAAATTGAACAAATTTTATGTGACAACTGTAGTTACTGGAAAGCTGGCATGCTAGTTTTTATGTAATTGTCACATATCGATAATTTCCCGTGTGGACGAGCGTCACATAAATGTGGCAATTATTTCGACGTCACACTGAATCCAAGTCTCAACATTTTGCACACCAACCAAGATGGCGACACCGATAGTAAGCAGAACGACTGGATTCGACAGAGAGAATGGTATTATTGTTGTTGCAAAAGCTAACACCAACTAAATTTGTTTTAATAAAACTTTAAAAAA